CATAAGTTGACCCATTGGAGACCTTTCAAGGGCCATCACAGGGTCATGGGGGGGTAATTCTCATATTTGTGAAGGGTAGTTTAGGAAAGAAATTAGAGAATCCTGCAATAGCTGAAAGTAGAACCCCCTAGAACCTTCTAGATGGGGGTTCCAATTAGAATTTCTGAAGCTTAGTGGTATAACTTGGGAAACAAGTCAGTCCTTCAAGGACTTTTAAGCTAAAAACTGAAAATAAAGAAGGGGCTAGGGTGCAAAATAAAAATCTGAAATTGCCCTATTCTTTGTCTATAAAAGGGCAGTACCTCTGCCTTGCAGAAGAAGTTTAGAAGCCTAGAAAAAAAATCTGAAAATTTGAAATTCAAAGTGGGAGAAGTCTAGAAAAATCTGAAAATTTGAAATTCAGAAGTCCTATAAGCTAGAGAATCTGAAAATTTGAAATTCAAATCCCAAAACGAAAATTTGAAATCTGAAAGTTTGAGAGTTCTAAAAGCCTGAAAAGCTACTGAAAATTCAAAAAAAATTCTGCAGAAGTTGAGAGTTTAGATACATAGACATTAGATCTTAGAGAAGAGAAAATCCTGAAAAATCAACACAAAAAGGGTTTAGGAATCCAGCAGAATTACTGTTTGCTTTCAACTGGTTGAGAAATGTTTAAAGTTGTCCATTGAAGTTTGGTGTTGGATCCAGCTGGGTCACTATTCAATTTGTTTGAATTTCAAAGCATTTCAAGTCACTAGTTGGGTTACTATTTGCTGCTGATTTCCTCTACTACTTGCTGATACTTCTGCTCCTTTTTTGCTTCAATTTCCAGGTATTTGCCTAACCTTCGAATGGCTAGAGGTTATGGACATATGTAGTTGAAGTCTGGTTCGAACGAAAGGCTGTTCCAAGCTTGATTGCATTTTCTGATTCCTTGTCTTGTTCACTGGATTTATATTAAGAAATGTAATCCTATATGTTGTTTCAATTTACTGATTTATGCACTTGAAGTGTCACATTGTTCAGTTAGCCAATAGTAAAAGCAACAGGCATGCGAATTTGACATTATACAACATGTTTGCTGTGGACTGTATTATTCCTTTAGTCGAATCCTGTTTTAAGTAGTTAAATCATGTATAATTAAATTAGGATTGCTGTAAGAATAGCTTTGGATTAATTAGTTGGGATGAGAGTAGTGTAGAACCTGTTTTAAATCTGGAAGCAGGCCCATTAGATTCAATTGCTCAAATTTCATTTTAGTCTACTAATGTACCTCCGGTATCCTGGGCCAAAACACCTGGGCTGTCCTTTTAGAAATATGTGTCAATTTGTTTAGTTGCTTTAAAATGTGTAGTTATTTTAAAATCGGATCATGAGCATGTTTAGTTGTTTAACATGTTTTAGTTATTTTAAATCATTTCAGTTGTTGCATTTGTTTTAATTGCTCTAATTGTGTTAAATAGTTTTAGCTTCTGAAGGAAATCGTTACTGTGATAACTTCAAACTCAAAAGAGGATAAACTAAATTCAAAATCAGACTGTTATACTTGTGCCAACAATAGGCTGTCCAGGTGAGTGAATTGGGCCTGTTTAGAGGCCCAAAATATTAATCAGCCTTATAGCTAAGGCTTTATACGCGGGCAGCTTCAGGGAATTAAAATTTGAATATTGGGCCTCTCTTTCAGGCCCAGTTGTGTTACTTTAGTCTTGTATTTAGTTACTAGATTTTAAACTCATGGTCCATATCTAGTCTTTATGACCTTACCCAATTAGTAAGGCCCCCCAAAAATAATTCTAGGAAGGCCATCTCAAATAACATAATAGTTCATGACTCTTCAACCTTAGTCTAGTGTCCTTTTAAAAATAAATTGAGGTACGCCGCGCCAAACAAAATTCACGAATTGCGTGACCCTCATTAATTATATGTTTAAAATCTTTAGAACTCGGGACGAGCTATTTAGCAAATTTTCATGGCTTCCCGCAAAGATATCAACACGTTAGTTGCTTTAGGCGCGTTATTTAACAATTTTACCTTCCTAAATTCGGGTGTGCATTTCATGTGACCCAAATCCAAATCCCAAAACGTTGAATAAAATGTGTTTCGGATCCGGGTGCATTTCATGTGACGCAATCCAAAAACGCGTTTTAAACGACGTTCAATCTTCCTTAAAAAATTCAATTAAAAGCGGTAAATAATCTTAAACTGCACTATATGATGAACATATTTTAAAATCAGATATTAGGCCAATTATGATAGCTTAAGCGACCGTGCTAGAACCACAGGATCCGGGGGTGCCTAACACCTTCCCCCGGGTCAACAGAATTCCTTAGTTAGAATTTCTGGTTCGCAGACTTCACTTGGAAAGTCGAAAATTTCCTCGATTTGGGATTCAAAATAAACCGGTGACTTGGGACACCAAAAGCCAAACCTATCCCAAGTGGCGACTCTGATAAATAAATAATTCCATTTCGAATAATGTCACTTAAAGTGGAAAAACTCCCTTATGCACTATCCTTCGGGGTAGGTGTGTAAAAAAAAGGAGGTATGACAGCTCTGGCGACTCTACTGGGGATACGAACCCAGAATTTCGGTTCAGGGTTCAAGAGTTCGAGCTTAGAGTAGCTGTTATTATTGGCTTTATTTAATATCTGATTTTCCTACATGTTTCATGCTAAATGTGCTAAATGCTTTACCGCTTTGATATTTGTTGAATTGTATATATAAACTGCTACGAAACCCTTCCTCTCTCTGAGTCTTCTACATCATGGAGAAGGGTGCACTTCGTGTGACTTCTCTTCTGTTTAGAGTCTTATCCCATTTTAGAACTAGGTTCGGACAAGTTGCTAAGCCGACGGAGCTTTTGTATCCCCGGTACACTGCCCCCCCTCCCTCCCGGCTCGAGTTGTCCGCTCGGGTAAGCTAGGTCTAGAACAATAAACCCAGGTTCTAAACCTAGCATAACAAAGCCTCATGCCGGATCCCTAGTAGGAACGTTTGTTTGCATCACGTGCATTTGACTTAGGGGACTCAACACAGGGGTTGGGTCCGTCTAGGACAGGTGACCTGAAATGAAAAGACCATCCTGATGCATCTTACGTGCTACTTGTGCATTTATTTGTTTCGGCTTGCATGTTGACCGTCTTCTAGAATAGGGACAGAAAAATCAAAAAAAAAAAAAGGGAAAAGAAAGAAAGAAAATCCAAGAGTGAGAGGTAGGCATTTTTTTAGAAAAATTCTAAAACCCTGCCGAATTTTTGAGAAAATGAAAGAAAAAGAAAAATTTTGTTTTCAAAAATAGTTGGTTTTGTCAAATCTGCCCGAACTACGCCAGTTTGATTCCCACAGGGCGTGGGATACGTAGGCAACCCCCATCGGGTCCAACTTCCCTTTTTGCAAAAATAGCCCAAAAAAACAACAAAAATTTTAGTTTTGTCACAAATAAGTCAGGTGATGCCATCCTTGTCTAAAATAAGCCGAATGTCCCCAAAAGGGCGCTGGAAGGCTGTGTTCGCAAGAACAGCCACCTTGGGTCATTTTTAACGGTTAGTGGGCACAGCCTTAAAATCTTCTTTCCCGAAGTGCTAAAAGGCCGTATTCGCAAAGCCGAAGTTTTGTTTTTGAAATGAAAATTTTGATAAAAATGATGTAGCTTTTTCTTCTTTTAGGTGAAAAATAAGTCTTTAAATCACCTTAATAAATGTGCAGGATGAACACGAATGAAATTGAACCCTTCACAATCTTTAATGAGATCCCCTTGAAGCTCCACATGTGGTGGGATGATCTAGGAAAAGGCAGTAGAGAAACAGTGGTAAAAGTTCTGGGCGGCCTTGTCGGATTATTGAATGTCAAGCCAAGATTGGATATCATTGAAGCTTTAATACCTTTTTGGGACCCGACTCGCAATGTGTTCCGTTTCTCTGACTTCGAGCTCACACCTACATTGGAGGAAGTTGCGGGTTATGCGGCCTTAATGGAAACCTTAGAAGTCGATATCCGTTGGCACCAAGACCGGTATCTCCACATATATTTCTAGATATACTGAGTATTAGTCGGGATGTTCAAGACGAAAATCTATCAGAAGGGTACTACACACTCCATTTCTTGTATCATCGATATGGCAACCCCCGAGGTTTTGAAGAGCCAAACACTGGTCTAACCCATGCCGGAAACAAAGATAAATGGGAAGCAAGGCGGGGTTTAGCTTTCATGGTAGCCTTCTTGGGAGTTGTGGTCTGTCCACGAAAAGATGGGAATATAGAGATAGGTCTTGTGGGAATGATTGATGTTGCTATCAATAAAGCCAACATCACTGTGGTTCCTCTGATCGTATCTGAAATCTATAGAGCCTTGACTATCTGTCAGGAAGGGGGAAAGTTCTTCCAGGGTTGCAATTTGTTACTACAGTTATGGATGCAAGAACACCTCTGTCACCGGATTGGGTACATGAATTATGGTTTGACCGGGTTGAGCTGCATTGAAGAATTTGAAAGCCGGGTAGCAGGTATTGAATTCCCTGAGGGTACTGAAGCTTGGCTTGCACATCTGAGATCCTTGACTGCCGAAAAGATTGAGTGGGCATTTGGATGGTTCCTGTCACTGAAGCAGTTTCCATGTCAGCTGAAGTGTCTTTTATCCTCTTGATGGGCATCCGGAGCATCCAGCCCTATGCTCCCTACAGGGTTTTGCGACAATTAGGAAGATTTCAAATTGTCCACAATGATGAAGACTTGAGTAAACATGTCATTGAACTGGGCCCAAAAGCTGCATTTCCAGAAGGGAAGATTCGCCAAGTATGGAATGAGTGTAGGTTTCTTGAACCTAAGACCATAGTGCGAGACCGAGCTAGAGGGGAAGTGGACCCTAAGTACATGGTTTGGTTCGGCAAAAGATTCCAGATTCCTGAAAAACCCGCAAAGAGACCACATGTCCAACAGTTTACCGATGGGGCCCAGGTACAATGGGATTGGTTAACTAAGGAGAATGAGTAAAAAGCCAAAATAGGCCAATTGGAGAGGCAAGTCATGGAGCTTCAATTTGAAAATGGTGTTCAAGCCGCCGCAGACGAGGGAGAAAAGAAGAAACTGACCCAGGAAAATGAGGCCCTTAAAGCTCAGATCAGAAAGATGAAAATAGTTGCTAATAACCCGAAAAGAAGTCGGGCTGATGAAAGACTTATAAGTGGTCTAAATAAGAAAATCCTCGAGTGCCAAGAAGACCTGGAAAAGTCTGAAGACAGTCTAGCAAAAATCCGGGCACAATGGACAACGAATGCAGAAGAACGGGCACGATTTGTGCAGCAAATGAAGAGGAACTATGAAGGGACCATCACTAGTCTAAGAAGAAAGGTAACTACTCTTGAAGATGAGGCAGCCAAACAGGCTAAAGATTTCAAAGCTGATAGGGAGCACTGTTATGCTCTGATGGCTCGAATGGAGGAAGAAATACAGAACCTGCAAAATCAGCACCTTCATGACTCCCAAGTGTTGGAAGCCCGGAACCAGCATATAGGGCGGTTGCTTCAGGAAAAAGGCAGAATTAGAGAAAGGATCAGAACCATCGCTGACTACATTACCATGAAGTGCCAAGCGTGCGAGGACATGACTCGTTCCACCTTTTTTGCTGCAGTAATGACTTTCGTCCGCTAAGTTATGAGTGATTTGGAGCGACTACAAGGGGGTCTCGCACATAGGCCCGCGGCGAGGCCGAATGATGCCCCGCGGGCCCCAATAGTTGAAGCTTTAATGTATTCCTGATTTTTCAAGCATCGAGTCTGTATTTTGCTTTATTTTGAGTCTGTTTGTAGTTTTTCTTTCCAAGAAAATGAGTAGTTAACATCTTTTGTAATAGAAGTTTTGTTAATGAAAAATTGAAAATTCCCAAAAAAATTGTTTCCTTATTTTTCGCATTTATTTTCCAGAACTACGCTCGGTCTGATTCATGCGGGGTCATGATACGTAGGCAATCTCCATAGGATTCGACCATAACCCAAAGAAGAAAAAAAAAGTGAAACATGAGGCAATGAAAAATGAGAAAAAGGGCAAGAGGAGAAAAGAAACGAAAAACAAAAGAGAGATGAAAAGGGAAGAGTGAAAAGTAGAAAGAAGAAAAATGGAAAAGAATAAGTAAATCCGGGATGAAGCATGCAACCGTTGCAAAACATGTAGAAACCCATTTAACTGTGTAGGTGCATCACACCCCAACGTGCGATTACCTAATCTGTTATTTGTCTTAAACTAACCGTTTGCTGTTGTCATTCCCAGTCCAGGTTTTATAGAAACGGTGGTTGGTTTTTCGTGGTAACCTGGCTTCACCTCCATACTTTACTAGATCAAAGGGGAGTATCGGTATGTCTTTGGAAATGACCTTGCCAACAATTCCCATCGCAGATGATAGCCCAATCTCGGGAATCCCAACCTCAGAATCCGCAACGGCTGAAGAGAACAGGGTCTTACATCTTCGAGACATGGAAATGTGGGATGCTTGGGCGAATGGAANGCCCACTTCTCGAAACTCAGAAATTTTTACAGAAAAGTGTTCTTCATCTTCCCCCGATTCCGTACATATAAAGAACACCAAAATCGGAGTCCGTTTGACCCCTCAAATCGACCCCTAAAGGTCTCATAATCTCAGGCCCCAAAATTCTATTTTTTTACTGTTTTTCATGAATTAAAGGCTGGGATTATGGTCTATAATCACCCATAAACGAGTTTTAATAATCAAATCACTTACCTCTATGATACCCACTGATTTTCTCTCTTAAAAATCGCCTTAGAAGCTTCTTCCCGTTCAAAAATTGGAAGAAAACTCGACCTGCTCATTATAGGTATACTGTTCACGCGTTTTACTACTCCCAATGGATTCCTTGTGAAATTCTAATGAATTTAGGCTTTTGAATCACTCAATTTGACCTTATAATGAAGGAGATATGTAGGTTTTAAGATTTGCAAATAGTGCAGGTTTTTAATACGCCGTCAGGGGCAATTTCGTCATTAACCTGAAAATCTGGGCAACCTTGGTAAAATGGCCATAAAATCCTCATACGATGTCCAAATTCGACGATTCTTTTTACTACGGGTCCGTAATTACAATACGGATCTAATGCTTCATTCAAAACAGTAATCAGAGCTCATTTGTTCAATATGATATCATTTATGCTTGAAAAAACGACGTCGAAGCATAAGAAAAACGAGCACAACGCTGCCCAAACCTATCCGAAACTCACCCGAGCTCCTCGGTTCTGCATACGAACATACTAACACGTCACATATGATCATTCAAACATTGTTTCACTCTCAAAACACCAAAACTAACATCAAAACACCAAATTTACATCGGATTCAAGCCTAAGTTCTTCTAAAACTTCCGAAACACGCATTTGATTAAAAACCCAACCAAATCACCTCCGAATAACCTGAAATTTTGCGCACACATTCCAAATCACCTAACGAAGCTACAGCAACTCTCGGAATTCCATTCCGACCCTCGGATCAAAATCTCACCTATCAACCGGAATTTGCCAAAATACCAACTTTGCCAATTCAAGCCTAATTCTACACCGGACCTCCAAAATCACTTTCGATCACACTCCTAAGTCACAAATCATCCCCCGAAGCTAACCGAACTGTCGGAATCCACATCCGAGCCCTCTAACTCATAGGTCAACATCCGGTTGACTTTTCCAAAACAAGCCTTCCTTAAAGAGACTAAGTGTCTCATTTCCTTCCAAAAATCCACCCAATTCAACTCGTTCACACAAGACACCGATAATGAAGCATAACGAAGCAGGAAATGGGGGAAACAGAGCGGTTCACATGAGACGACGGTTCGGGTCGTCACAGATACGTAGGCAGCCTCTCTCTGGGGTTCAGTCACACCAAAACAAAAATCCCAATTCCCCCAAAAAGTGAAACTGGGGCAGACGATATAATGGCTTGGCAATGAGCCCACCAAAACGGTTCCAAAGTTGTAATTCCATCCAAGATTCTTTTTACCCAAAAACCTTGTCCAAGTCCTTCCGATCAATTGGCAAAGGCGTGGGAATTGAAAACATCATTGTTGGAATCTGATGCAATCAAATTGAGAGAAATAAAATGAGAGAGTCTTATCGGTGAAAACCTACGGGCACCATAAGGCGACGGTGGGTAGAGAAAATTGAAAATGAGAGAGTCCGCTTAGTGAAAACTCGTAAAGAGCACTATCGGGCGACGGTGAGAAGAGAAATAAGAGATGTCGACTGGTGAAAACCCGCAAAGGGCGTCGTCGGCCAAAGAGAAGACATCTCCCACCATTGAAAGAGTCCTGGAAAGATTTCCTGGATCTGAAACACGGGTCAATGAGTTTATGAGAAGTGTGGAAGGTTTGTGCGGGTCGGGCATCTAGTCCAAGAAGCATGTCATGTCCATTTGGAGCCTGCATGCACCCCAGATAAATCCTTCTTTTCTCCCCGAAAGGGACACTTCTCTTTAAATTCATTTTCTCTCCTTTTGTCTACTCTAACTCTGTTCCCGAAATTAATACAAAGAAAAGGTGGCAGGACTGGCTTTACAGGGCTCTCCCTAACAAAAGCTAAAGAAAAGTACCCAGCTAAAGAAAAGGTGGCAGGACTGGCTTTATAGGGCCTCCATTCCCTAGTCGCCTTTTGCCAACATTAGGGCTCCAATCCCTGAGTTGAGCTTTTTACCCTTTAGCCAACATTAGGGCTCAAATCCCTGAGTTGCGCCTTTTAGACATAGGGCCTCCATTCCCTAGTCGCCTTTTGCCAACATTAGGGCTCCAATCCCTGAGTTGAGCTTTTTACCCTTTAGCCAACATTAGGGCTCCAATCCCTGAGTTGCGGCTTTTAGACATAGGGCCTCCATTCCCTAGTCGCCTTTTGCCAACATTAGGGCTCCAATCCCTGAGTTCACATTTTAGATATAGGGTTCCACTACCTAATTTATTCCATCATTGACGAACACAATTCTTGTTTCGTGAAAAAAAAGAGAATGAGTTAAGACTTTCGTCACAAATAACTCACGAAATTTTCCTAGTGAAAACTGGGGCAGAAAATTTCGTTCGTTTGTTTGTTTTGGAGTCTGAGCAGGTTTGACCTCGAGGCATAGGATCCGAGGTAGCTGAAAGAATGAGTCTCCATCCAGAATAAGAAAAGAAGAAAAGAACAAAAAGAAAAAGTGAATCCAAAATGCTGAAGCGGACAAAGATGCGGACTGCTTAAAACCTGACTGAAGTCACAAGCTCCGCCTGTCCCGCTTTGATCCAATGCTGAAGAAAGAATCAGCACCTACAACTTGTGAGCATCAAGATTCAGATCGGGGTCGACAGCAAAATCAGCTAAGACTCAAGATCAAGCTTCAAGAGATTTATAGAGAGGAATCTTGTAACTCGTAGTTGATAGGCATAGCTAGCTTAGCTTTGATTTTACTTTTGGTGTAATAAGGAGGTCAGCAAGCAGTAGCAGCAGCAACAGCAGTGAAATCACAGCTTCTGGTAGTCCCAGCTACCAAAACTTCCAGAACTACACTGACCTGATTCCTTTATAGCCAAGGATATGTATGCAACCTCTGAAGCAAGGTTCGGTCAGACGTTTTTCAAAAATGCTTCTCGTGGAGTGCCGAGCAGGCAAAAATCCCTCATAATTGTTCATTTATCTTTGCTCGAAGACCCTTCGTGTCTCCGAGCAAAGAGGGGCAGCTGTGAGCACATGATTTTTGCCTCGCTTGAATTACTCCTACAGAATTCTTAAAATTAGGATTTCTCTTTATTATTTGATTTTTAGGATTTAATTGCGTAATTTTTGTGTGTGTTTTTTATTTGTGTGTGCACTTCTAGTTTTAAATAATTCATAAAAATACAAAAATATTGCATGGGCATTTAGGATTTAATTTTACATATTAGGCTTGTACAAAATACAAAAATCACAAAGAAAACTTTGCTTTGTTTTGTTTGGTTTTAATTTTAGTTCTTAGGTTTATTAGTTTCCTTTAAATTGGTATTAGTTTAATTATAGCTTAATTAGGTAGGTTGAATTAATTTTTAGGTTTAATTTTAGTTTGGTTTTAAAGTTGAAAAAAAAAAAAAGAGAAAAACAATTAAAAGAAAAGAACTAAATGAAATAAAAATAAAGAAAAGAGAAGAGCTGGCCTGTTAAGGTTGGGCCAGTTTTAAAGACAATTCACTGGCCAGCTCTTTAAACCTTGAACCTGTTCAAACAGCCCACAGCCTAGCCCAAATTCTACCCGGTCCAGCATACCCCCCCCCCCTTCATGAAACGACGCCGTTTTAGTAACTTTCAATCAGGACCGTCGAGGTTTTTTAATCTAACGGTCCTGAAGCCTAGGTTACATAATATATAATTGTCCAAACGATCCTACCCCCCCCCCAGGACCCCCCTACCCTCTCATCTCTCCCATCTCTCACCCCAAACCCTAACGCCTCCGCCTACCACCGCAAACCGCCGGCCGGAAATCGCCTCCGCCGGCGGCGATCATCCAATGACCTCCAAAATTTCACCACAGCTTCGTCTCCTTCTCCTCATTACGGATCCGAAAGTGTTTTCCTTCAAATCCTACCCAAACCCTTCGAATAATTAAAACCCTAGCCGCCGCCTCGCCGTGTCCGGCGGCGCCGCCTCCAAACCCCACCAATA